TTGCTAACGTAACCATGACTAGGTTTACCCATCTGAAAAATTTGTATACTTGTAGTACATGAAGTTAATTTGACTCTAATTGTCTATAATTTTCGACGCTTGTCGACTTGTTGTTGTTGCTAGCAAAGTGTGTGCGCGTAATTCAATAACGCGAAAGCGTCAGGAGTGTTCGTTTCGTGTCGTTGCGCACTTTGCACCGGCGTCAAGTGTGCGCTGATTGGATTTATTAAGGATTGCGCCCGGACTTCCGCAATTCGGTGGTACAAACCTGCCAACCACCGCCACTTAAACTATAACTCCAACTAAACTTCAGAAATTTATCAAAACTATAATTCACGTAAATTTATTCATATTAGCATTTTTTTCAACTTTTATTAACACAGGTAAAATAAAAGTAATCCAATTAGAGCTATAAAGATAATGTTGTGTTTAATCAAGATGCGAGGGTCGTAATTAACCCGATTGGTTATACCCAGGTCCTAAAAATGCTCGCCGAGGTGGAAAAATCGTTTAACGCGCGAGCGACATGGCTAAGGGTAGATTCATAAGCAGAATCTTTTCCAGAATGTAATCACTGATCGGCGCCTCCTGAGTCCCACCAGCCCAACATCTCCAACACCCACTTCCTCTAAGCATAAACGGAAAAACTAATTTACGTTCGTTTTTTTTCCTCGACATTCTTACGCTTTCACTTCCAAAATGAGAAATTCCATTCCGGCCATTTTTCCAATTGTCTTTGCATTGAAACACGGATATAATCTCGGTATACTCCACCTCCCCAACAAAATGAGGATGAAAATAAAATGTGAGGTTTTTCCTCGCTATGCTTGTGTGTGAAAATCGTTTTCTTTTTTATTTTCGCTCCTCTGATGATACTTTATTCGTTTTTCACCCTCGCGTTCAAATTAGAATATCAATTCTCGGTTATTTTATGCCGAGAAACAGCGAGTTCGATTTTAGGCTTTCAGGTAGCGGAGCTTTAGGGGTAAATTTTCGGGTTTTCGTGCGCAAAGTCTGTTAGAGTTTGAGTTGGAGTTTTCGCGGCGATGTCGAACATCAATTCCCATCACGGCAACCTTTGCTTTTCGCTTCCACCTACACTCTCTTAGTGGCGCGCGTTTGTATGGTTTGTTCTCTGGCTTAACGTACGTGTCCTTCTATTCTCAGCAAACGTTGATGTGGAGGTGGTTCGCATCCTGAACGCTTTTATTTTCTCATTCCGGTTCCCGTTTGCCTTTTACACGAATCATTCAATATCTACATCGAATACTAATACTAATACAAGTGGCCTGGATGCGTCTATTGTAAAAGTAGTTGAAAAAAATAGATAGAAACATTTTTTAATAATAAAAAATATAAACAAATACATTTGTTCTTATATAATTTAAGCACCTTTTGTCTTTTATAAGAATAATCAAATAGTGTACTAGGGGCAAATTGCAACCAATGTGAATCAATACAGACACACTTGCTACATCCGACATGCCGTGTCGAGCATTGATGAAAAGTTATGTATGGCTGGTAGGGGTTGTTATGCCGCTTAATTCGGCCGACATGTTGCGTCCGCGTCCTTGCCCGAACGAGAATGAAACCTTCGGGCGATTGTGCACGCGTTAGAGCGCGATTGGAGCGCGAACATTTGTGACTGCTCCCTCACACGACCCACACACCCTTGCGCAACCCTTGTTTGCCGCTGCCAGTGAGTGTCGGTTGCGCTTCTATTTACCTTTTGTTGCATCCATTTGAGTAGCGCACAGTGTACGCGCTGCTTCACGAAATTGAAGACGTACCGACGTGATGATGGCAATATTCATACACGTCAGTGACACGTTCTATTCATTTCAGACCTTTAAAATTTATAATAATGTAGTGTATATTACATTATAGGTAATGGGTGTTATTTTATTTGTAAGTGTATATTTTAATTGAAATTGATAACAAAAATAAGAAATTTATAGCGTTTCCTAATGCATCTCTAATCTTCATGTCCCAGCAGGTTATTTTAATGTTTATTTAGTACTTCTTTCGATCATATTGTAGTTTAAAAGATTCTTTACATAATCCACACCCTTCCAGGGCTTTAAATTCTTTGGAAATGCCCTAAAATGTCCTTCAAAAGTTACCACAATTGATAATACAACAGTTTGAATATATCGTGTGGTAAACGCCCTGTATCTGCTGAACTAATACACTTTCTCAAAGTTTCTTAACGCTATATTATAGCTTAAATGATCCTTTTTACGATTCATTTTATTTCAATCTTCTGAACCATTTGAAACTGCCCTAAAATGCGCTTCAAAAGTGAGCAATTTTATAAAAATTTCAAAACATGGGTTAGAAATCGCCCAGTATCTCCTGAATTAATTTACTTTTTTCAAGTTTCTCAACGTCATGTTATGGTCCAAAAGACCTTCTTTAAGATGCATTTTATTTCAACCCTCTAGACACTTTGGAAGTGCCCTAAAATGCCCTTCAAAAGTTGGCAATTTTTTAAAAAACTTGAAGACATGGGGTGGAAAACGCCCTGTATCTCCTGAACTAACTGGCTTTTTTGAAATTTCTCACCGTAATATTAAAGTTCGAGAGTTTATCTATACGATGCATACCCTTTTTACCCTCTAACCCCTCCAGAAGTGCCCGAAAATGCCCTGCAAAAGTTAGCAATGTTATAAAAATTTGAAAACATGGTGCGGAAAACGCCCTGTATCTCCGGAACTAACTGACTTTCTTGAAGTTTCTCACCGATATATTAAAGTTCGAGAGTTTATCTATACGATGCATGTCTTTCTAATCCTCTAACCCCTTCGGAAGTACCCTAAAATGCGGTTCAAAAATAGCTATTTTTGTCCAATAAATTTCATTTTTTGGTCAAAAAACCATGTCAAAATCGTATCAAAATTATTTTCGGTCGAAACACCGGTCCATATTATATTCTTTAAAAAAATTTTTGGTCGAAAAACAGGGTCGAACTTTTTTCTTAAAATATTTTTCAGTCGAATAACAGGTTGAACTTTCAACTTTTAAATTGTTATTATTTCGACAACACAAAAATTGTCTTTGTATTTTTGCTTCTTGAAAAATTCGCTACAAGCTTGCATAATCTTTGTAAATCGAACAAATTAAAATTGAAGAAATGATTTTGTCATAAAAAAGGCAAAACTTTTCTTCTCTGTTTTATCAAGAAATAAGAACTGAAATTTTTAAATTCTGTATTTACATAAACATTAAACAATATACAATACTGGTGTCCCCACCTAAATGTTAACGTCGGCTGACAATTCTCTTTCCTGCTTAGTCAGCCGTGCGCAGTGGTGCGGTGTGCACGTGTTTTGTTTGAGAGTCTATCTGCGTAGTTATTAATCGCGTTTCTTGAGACGTTAGTATGACTTGCAGTTATTGAATTGTCGCGCGTGGAATCGGAAATTGAGTGACTATATCCTAACATTTGTGGCTGCCGTCGGATACCATCCGCGAGCGAATTGGTATGATCATTTATTTATTCAACGGTTAATTTGTTAAAATAAGTAGCGTTTCTTACTAAAATGAAAAGTATGTTGATAGCAGAAGGACAATTAAGTGAATGACGTCAATACAAATTAGAACTAACGTATTTATTAATTTTAATATTTATTTGTTTTTATTTATTGTAGTGAAACCATCTGTTGTGAATTAAAGTGGGTCTAGCCCACGCTAGGAATTGTAGTTTTTTTATTATAACACTCGAATGCGGTCTTACTTAAAGTTCGGAATAATTTTGTTAGATGCGGAATTGAATTGTGTATCTCCCTGTATCAAAATTTATTGCGAGAAAATTCCGTAACGCGACTTATATTGATAGTTGTGTGTATACGCACTTGTACTGCTGCGCCAGGGAATTGTAGTTTTTATTGGCAACACGCAAACGCGGTCTGGCCTTAAAATGCTGAAAATGTTAGAGATGCGCGTATTACAAGGGAAGTTTTACTTTCAGGAGATTTAAGAGCTGTCTATGATTTTCTATTTTAAATAAATTGCGGCTTCTTTTAATGCTGCCACAAACAGCAATGTAATATTAAGGCTTACTCTTCATATTTCTTTGATTCCCCCGTTGCCGTTTCTTGCAGGATTGTTGTCTTTAAAACATATTCCATCTTAAGTGCGTCGAGCGTGCGGCTAAATATATAGCAGCTGTTGTGTTTGTGATGTGTTGTTGTTCTTAAAAAGAACAAAAGTAGAAACACAAATAGAAGAATCAAAATAACAATGATAAAATCACTTTGCATGAGTGGATACGTGCACCCGCTGGCATGCTAGTAGACACGGATCGAATTCCCAGGGATGGGGAGGTACTTTTTCTCAAATATAAAAAATAACAGGTGAAATTTCAGGCTGTATGTGTAAACTCAAATGAAATTATAAGAGGAATTGAAATACAAATGAAGGCGGCGGTATGAGAAGTAAGAAAGAGTAAGGGGAGAAACGGAGAAGTAGAAGAAGGAATAGCAGAGAAAAGAGTAGAAGAGTAGAAGGAGGAGATAGAAGAAAGAGCAACAGGAGTGGCTCAGATTTTTAAATTTTTTGGCACGTGTCGTTATAAGACAGTCTACGGTCGATCTCGCCGGAGGCGCTCTGGTCGATCGCCCTCTGCTTCGATCCGTCTATTGCCCCCGGCCCATCCTACAGCTACGATGTCTCTGCGCTTCATCCCCGAAATTATCAGGCATATCAACAATTTTTATGGTGGGGGATCACCCCAGAGAGAGGGAACTCCTTATAAGGACAATCCTTATAAGGTCTTGTTCAAATATTTCTAAGTTTTAGGTCGCCTCAAGAGAGGGGACACTTAAAAATATTCTTACAAGTTCTGACCTGTAGCTGAAATGAAAGAAGGAGTACACAAATCATACAGGTTACCTTAACAATTTTTATAGTGGGGATCATCCCCTGAGAGAGGGAACTCTCCTAGAGACCTGTGCCTGTAACGATAGAAGGGATACATACACAAATCATAAGAGGCACAGTCACTTTTAACATTTTTTATTGAAACATGTATACGAGTACAATGAAAACTTAGCATATATAATACTGAACAAAACATACGCCGCCATCTTGGAATCTAGTTGTACGACCAGCTTAGCCCCTCACATGCAGACAATTACCTATAACAAACAAAACATATAATATTAACAAAATTTGTATAATTTTTGCGGTAATCAGGGAAAATTATTATACAGAGTGTTTCAAAAACAATATAGTAACATTTTAAGAGAAAATACAAAGTTCAAGTAAAAAAATATATATCTAAAACGATTATTAATGTATCACACGAAATAAATATACAGGGTGTTGTAATAAGAAAATGAAAATATTTTAAAGGAAAATCCTAAATAAATAATATATATCTTGCCCAATTTTGACAAACTCAGCACGGGAAATGAATATACAGGGCAATACAAAAGGAAAATTCTAAGTTTTAAAAGGAAAACGCCTAATCACTAATAATAATTGTCTATTTTTAACTTCTAGTAGATAATAAAGAAAAGTGATGGGTTGGTTATTACATAAAATACAGTACAAGCATAATTTTATTTTTAGTCATGTGGAACAACACAAGTTCATGTAAGAACGCAGCCGACGGCACGCGACAATCTTATGCTTTTAAATTCGGACACAAACAACAAACTAAACAATGTATCGAATTCGTAATGTAAATCAACGGTAGATATTTAACCAGAGACAAAAATTATGTGTGTTGTTAAAGACCACGAGGTTGAAGTAAAAACAAGTAAAGTCATTAATGGATTTGATTTTCATATGACTGAAGAAATGCGAATACATACTTTGATACAAAATAAATCTTTGCACATTCGGCATATCCAATAAGTTGCAAAAAAATTATGCACATTGTAGGAACAATATAATACGCATATAATACAAAAGAGTATCCGACGGCTGACGGAACATCACTCACGCTTTACGTCTGCGTATGTACAATCCGTGTTTAACGAACACCGCTCATCACTCGCGCACAATCGAAGAAGCATTTAGAAATATTATGTAACTACGCGAAGAAAAATTAAGGAACTTAAGAATAAGGAAGAATAAGTGCGTGCAGCTCACCGGACGACAAAAATGAGACTGACGTGGTATGCAAGCCAACCGCGTGGCGACCTCACAAAAATTGCACGAGATAAAAACTTGTTTCTTTACACACAATGATACACTCATTGTAATAAGGCCGAACATGAATAAAATTGTATTCGTACTATGCGTGGAAACTATAATTTCAAACTTAAATTATAAAATATAAAAAATAATTTTGATACGATTTTGACACTGTTTTTGACCAAAAAATTAAATTTATTGGTCAAAAATAGCTATTTGAACCGCATTTTAGGGCACTTCTGAAGGAGTTCAGAGGGTTAGGAAGACATGCATCGTATAGATAAACTCTCAAACTTTAATTTAACGTGGAGAAACTTAAAAAAAGTCAGTTAGTTCAGGAGATACAGGGCGTTTTCCACACCATGTTTTCAAGTTTTTATAAAATTGCCAACTTTCAAACAGCAATTTAGGGCATTTTCAAAGTGTTAAGCGGATTGAAATAAAATGCATCTTAAAGAAGGTCTCTTGGACTATAACATGACGTTGAGAAACATCGAAAAAGTGAATTAGTGCAGGAGATACAGGGCGTTTTCTAACTCATGTTTGTCTAACTTCACTTTTGATGGGCATTTTAAGGCATTTTCAAAGGGTATAGAAGATTGAAATAAAATGTAACGTAAAAAGGGTAAAAACTATAATATGGCGCTGAGAAACTTGGAGAAAGTAAATTAATTAAGGAGATATAGGGCGATTTACTCACCGTGTATTCAAATTTTACTAAAATTGCAACTATTTGAATACTTTTGTAATACTAATTGATTATGTTTTGTATTTGCTCTCTATTTCGATAAATTTAGACCAAATTGCTTTGATCGTGAGCTTCTTTCCTTGCAGGCGCATCTTGAAGGCAGTTGTAGCCTTGTTGATACGCTAATTACACAACAACGTGGGCGTGACGAGCATACAGCCAACATCTTATCCTTACGTCTTCGTCTTCTTATGTTTACGTAAACTTACGTGTACGTTTTTGAAACAAATATGTGTCAAGTTTGTTTGGCTTATCTTTTTGTTTGTTACCTGATGGGTTCTTTCCCAGGTGTCCTTGTTGAGAATGAACGTGACGCATGCGACGCTACATGTTCGACATTTTATTTTCCAGCGGTGGTAAAAGTTTGTTTTATATCGTGTGTCGCGTTTTATAAAAATTTTAAATTTTCAGGTAAAGTTGATGAAACTATTTAGATATTACTCACCTAGTAATAAAATAAACTTTTCTGTGCTTTGCGACTCTTGGCATTTTGTAGTATTGGTTGGTTTACCATTTCTGTAATATAAAAAATAATAAAGTAAATTTAAATGTATTAGTTTAGTGTATGATAGAAGTGTAAGTGCATAATAAGAGGATAAAAAAGTTTGACAATATTCTGATGATTTTGTTGGAATCTTCAAAGCAAAGCTCAAAATCGGCTTAGACTTTTACGAAAATACAGTGCGTTTTTTTTGTGTACAAAATTAAGGTTTGGTTGACGTAAATTTATGCACGCATCTCAATCTGAACGACCGTAAAACATTCGTCGAGACACTGCGGTCGGATTTTGGGCGCACCGGCGCTTTGCTGCCGCCGCGAGTCCTGTTAGTCCTGCTTGTCTCCCAAGTTGGGAGAGCGGCAGCGCGCGACACGACATCCCGGTCAATCTCGACAAGCACAGCATTATTGTCTTCATTCCCCCGCCGTTGCCGGTTTTTCTTTTTCCTGTACTTCCTTATTTGCTAAACTGGCAGGAACAGATTTTTTCCACTCGCAGGACGTGTTTTATGGGTTTTATGCTCGTCGAAAGAAAAACCCAAAAACCTAATCCGACATGTTGGCCTGGATTGAATGAACCCATAACGTATTATTTAGAAGTTCTGACACACAAAAAAAAATCCGCTACACGAACTCGTCCATCTCATGTACAATGTTTTTTGCGCGTTCGTCAAAGCTTTGTTTGGAGCGAGTTGAGTTCAAATATTTTTTGTTTGCACGCCCGCGTTTTGTTTGTGTGGTTTTGTCGAGTTGTGTTGTGTTTACGCGCGATATGAAAACAGATCATCAGCGATGAGGCGCACGTACGCATCAAAAGTGACGAACAAAAGCAACAGATACGAACGCGCGCGCGCCTCGCAACCAAACTGCGTGAAGCTGATGTGGAGGCGGCGTTCGAAGAAGCTGCCTGAAAGGGTAACAATGCGACTCTGTCGACGTTTCCATAGGTACGTCGCGCAGGAGACGTAATCTAATCGGCTACTCGCTTTCACATAATAGAAAACAAATGGCCTCTGCTTTAGACTTAGTCCACGGAAGAAAAAATTATGTTGTCACAGAATATTGTACAAACAGATTTTGTACGAGCACAATGTGTCTGATTATTTTTTGAGGACGACGTTCAAAAAATAATAATAAAACATAATGAAAGAAGACATAGGTATAAGTGGTTGAAACTCATTATTACTGAAATATTTTAACAAAAGTATTAGGTTACAAGCAAATTAATCAAAATTCAAAATTCTAAATATAATTTATTTTTGTTTGTCATACCTTCCTAATTTTCTACTATACTTTATTGTTGTATGCTTCTAAATAAAACAATTAATTTGATTTTATCACGTTTTATCTCTTTAATTTCCTGGATATAAATAAAATAAAAATAAATATTATTATTATTGCATAAGTACAACAACATATGTTAAATTTCCTGCACAACCTACATTTGTAAATACGTTTTAATGTATATTTATTAACATTTTTGTAAATATCAATATTTATCTATAGGAATAATTATTTCAGCGCACCCTCAGAGCTCAGTTATTAATTAAACTTACAGCTACATATTTGTCCACCGTTGCATGTTAAAAAAACCTATTTTTTGTCCCTTGTTGTTTGTTGTCAATTTACGTCCTAACCAAGAATTATATCTCCCTAGCCATTTTTGCTTGGGGAATAGTCAACCTCGACACACGTCCCCAAAAAATAGTCGCATACCTCAAAGGATCACAAGCACGCAAAGTTTGATTGTTTTTTTTGTACACATCAAATGCAAACTTTTCCATTCACAAATTTAAATTATAAAAACAATTCGATGAGATTCTGCTGAATTTTGTATGAAATCAAATTATGCTTTATCAAAAAAGTTGTATTACAAACATTTTAATGGCAAAGGACTTTATTAAGTCTAAATTACTTCAATACTAAGAATACCTCAATTAAAATAAAAAACGATTCAAATAATATTCAATTCGTCATTTTAAGAATGTTAGCGACAGCAACATGCAAACAAAAAGTACGATATTAATATTTTTTATTTCTTGTAATTAGAATTACGAATCAAGGGTGACGTGGTCCAAAATACAAAAAAAATTATTTTTATCTTAACGAGCAAACAGACTTTAAAAAATAGTCAGAAATAAATACAAATTTTGTAGATGTTTGTATACTTAAAAATAAGTGATACGCCAATTTCTGTAGCACATAAATAATAATTTGTTGATTTTGCAATGCATCTTCGCATCTCAACAACTCAACATCTCAAAAATGAGTAAAAAAGATGAAAAGCTTGCTTGGTGAATGCGCTTTCGAGAGTGTTGCACTGCTTCCATGCTTTATCGCAAGCGATTTTATGCGCAAAATTTACGTCCCGCATGCTCCCGCTGCTGTTGTTGTTCCATACTTACACTCAAACGCAAACCTGTTACAAAGTGTGCGGAAGACAACAAGTGCGGCAAAGTGTACACAACCGCGCGCATAAAAGATGCAGACGCTTCCTTCGAATCCATCCCGCGCATTCAAAACATACAAACATTTCAACGCTGCGCCGCACTTCCTTCTTCCTCGTCCACACGCACACACACACGCACATACTTGTAAATGCCTGTATAATTTTGTATGTTTACGTTGATATGCACGTGCGTGTGTGTGTGTGCGCCTGTGTTTTTGCGTTTTTGCCGGAAACGGTTATAAATTCTTGCGCGAAACATCCTTCCACACTTCCTGCTGCCGCCGCTGTTTTTCTGTTTGTTTTGCGCGCCGGACGAATTTATCTCGAACGTTAACCGAGACGAAAGGAGTGTTCACGTCGTCACTAATAGAATTTTTTACGCGGAATGAAATGTAATATTTTTACGGTGGCGCGAGCAACGCGCCGTGGTTTGTCGCCGACGCTCTGTGCCATAGAGGAAATAAAATTTAATCAACTTGCTTAAAATTCACATTTACACGAGCATATTTAATGTAATATTTTAAAGCATAGTATAAAATATAATATAAAACACGTTGTTAATAACATCTTTATTTTATTACAAATATTTGTTTTTCTCAAAACTGCTGTGCTTGCTAATCCTTATAAAAATAACTTGTTATTTTCATGTAATTATGTTTTCCACAAACACATTTAGTCTTATAAATTTACCTGCAGCAATAAAATGTTTAATTAACTCTGTTTTTGTAAATTTATTTTTGACAAAGTAACCTATTTTGAGCATCTAATAGCTTTTCTAGATTGAATCGTCCATGAAAAATACTTCGACTTCAACGCGCTCGTCCGCAGTGATCCTTTCTAAGCACGCCGACAAATGTATTAACCTCCAAGGATGCGCGCGCAAAAGCGCCGAAAAGAAGTGGAAAGGTTTTAGTGTTAAGCGTAAATTTGCTGTGAAGATAAGCTCGCTGCAAAGCTCGCGTCGAAAGCGCTGGACTAAAGAATCATCCGCATCCGCGAAGAGCGGAAAGGAAGTGTTCGGGTTCTTTCTAAAGCGCCTGATAACCGAAACACCAGATTGACAATCTTGTCAATCACGCTTAAAAAAGAAACATAAATTCAATACTTGAATACAAGTTTAATATTTAAAATATTCCAAAATACATAAAAAATAAAGCAATTAAATTAAAACAACACTATCATATAACTCAGTTGCCTTGTACAATTAGTAAACAAATGTTATAAAAAATTGTTTGCTGAGGGTATATTAATAGTAGTTACCTTGAAACAACTAGTTTCGTGTGTTTGTTTGTTGATAACTCAGGTGTGCGTTGGCGTGCGGCAGTCAGAAATTGTTTTCGCCGCTACCAAACTGTCACTTCGATAATAACCGACGAGGGTTGACGTGCGTACTAGTTTTACCCTCTGCGGCCTAGGGGTGTGAGGCCGTGCGCCAACAGACAATGGCCGCGGGTGGATCGTTTCATACACTTTTCATGTCGTCATTATATGGTAGATTGTACCTGCACAAATCTCTGTCATGTCCGACTTTCTAACTCTGTAACAACTACAATGCTACCCCGCGTCAATTTTGGAGTTAACGAACAATACAGTAGGCTGATTTTGTCATTGCATATATAATTAATATCTACTAAATTTTGTTGGTAGTTTAATAAGCATTCTTTGTACATATTTATCAACTTTTTCTATTTTTGCCTTTAAAACGCCAGTTTTTCAATGGTTTTGAGGCATAAAATACTTTAGTCATGGGCTTTAGTCACGGGGCGGAGCTTGCGCCTGCGCATTTCTCAAATTTATTCATTTTTACACATTTTTAAACGTAAAACACATATTTAGTTCCAAAAAATAATTATTTCATTTGTAACTTTTATTTTCTGTTGCATAAGATGCAATTACAGTTAATTCAGCAAGAAGTGTAACTGGAAACTTAGTTAATGTTCGCCGAAGCTCCAACCTAACGTGCTAGCGGCGCAAATCACACTTTGTTACTATAATTCTTATATCCATTCAATTTGCCCATCCGAGTTCTCGACTTTCCACCCGCATCGTCTTCGTCATAAGCTGCTGGAACTGATGAGACGGCAGAGACTTCGTTAGTAGCTTGAGGTAAAGTAAAAGTAAGCAAAACATTCGCTGCGAACGCGCCACATTGGTCTAAGTATAGCGTCGTCCAGAATTCGTCGAGTTAAGTAGCTATACTAAACCGTGGAGCGATACAATAAAAGTCCAATTAGACGCAAATTTATCTTCTCATTTTCCGAGCAAGGTAGCTACGCTCTGTATTCATTAGACGCACCGCTTCCATTTCATTTTTCGAAAATGCTGAACAAAGCACTGCGACCGAAATTTAAATCTCAAACATTAACAGAAATAATTCTCTGCCTGCGGTCGAAACGAATGCCGAAAATAAATGGACAATTAGCCACCGGCTCAGAAATAATAAAACTCTGCACAAAAAATTACGAAATTTTAATTGAGTCTAATAAATTAATCAATACCAACTGGAGACTAAAAATATCAAAACAATTAGTGATTCAAAACATGACTGTGGTGTCTTGCCAAGTTTCCA